GGAGTAGTAATTCTGATTTCTATTGCATGTTGTGATTATTTGGTAGAGTTGACGACAGTGTTGTTCTTTAGGTCCTACCTCCAGAGATTACTTTAATTTAGGGTAATTCTTGTGAGCAGCCCGGGTTGAGGAACTTTGGCCTAGTAGAGCAACTTCATTGATGAATTTTAGAATGAAAAACTACTTTTTTAAAGACAGTATGTTTGCAGCAAAATTAAAAAAATATACACATTTCAGGTAGGTGCTGAAAAATATAAAGGATATATAAAATAATATCACCCATCTCTTATCTTAAAAAGATAGCCATTGCCAAGTTTTCTGTTTGTGCTTTTTTTCTGTACATAAACATTTTTTTAGCAAATAGGATTGTACAGTATGTACCATTCTTTGACTTGTTTTTACTCAGTTAATACATTTTAGACATCTAGAGAAAACCATTTCTCATAAATAATTTTGTCCAAGGATTAAAAACAAAAGCACAGAAGATAATTTTTGAGCAACTTGGCAACAGGAGCTGATGAGAGATACAGATTGGGAGCAGGGCTATTCTAGGATTGTTTGGAGGCCGGGACACATCACAGTTCTCCGTGCAACAATTCAGGCAAAATTTGTTTACGGTGAAGATTCCATAATCTTTGAATAGGGAAAAATAACCAGAGGAGATGCACCCAAGAAGAAGGAATATTTCCTTCCAGTGAATTAAGGTAAGTGTATGGATGGCAGGCTTCAGAATTTTCTGTTTGGTGCATTGTATTTTTAAAATTTTGTATTGCGTCTTGTTTAGCATGCGCCGAGTCTTCCTCTGGCCTATCCTCCTCTCACTGTTGCTCAATTGCTGGAGGCATGGATTAGGTGGGCCGTTGGCAGACAGGAACACTGGGCCTGTGGATGTCCACATCAGCTGTATGGCCTAGGCAGTTGAAGAGAAGGTGGTGGTATTCCATACCTGTCCTCCTAGCATCTGTCCTTCCTCTAGGGCTCTTGGACATCTGATCTTGCTCACCGCTTAGGATCCTGTAGTTCTCTTCACCTGAACTAACCCAGCAGGCTTCCTGTGTTTGCCAGTAGTGAGCAGGGCCTAAGACAGACTTGCTTATGCAGAGGAGATCGAGTTCTTCAGAAGCCTGTCCACGGACCAGGTTATGTGCATCCATCAGGTAGTTCACAAGCATAGTGATAACATGAGGCCTAAGTTAGCTATAGATATTCTCAGCAGAGTTCAGTTTTTCCAAGATAAATAATAACTATTTTTTAACAAAGACAGAAATATGAAAATAAATTTAAGTTTAGGTAGTTTATGCCCAGTCTGCTTAAGGGATAACCCTTGCCTGGTCTCTAGAGGACTCTTCGAGGCTCTATTTTAGTTGTATAATTCTTTGATATCTTGGGGCTTCATAGAACATTAAACTTAAAAATTACATTTCCAAATGATCAGGCCAATTTATTGTTGAGGCCAATAACTATCTAGTCAATAGACAAACACCATTATTTATAATGTCAAATAATCCCTCACTCATAGTCTTAAATATGGTTAAGAATGCTTTCACCCTATTTGCATTTCAAGGACAACGAAGAAAAGTGCTTTCTGGGGTAGATCTGGTAAGCTACCAGAGTTGGCTTGGGATACGAGGCAGATGATTGTTTTCCTTTTCTTTCTTTCTTTCTTTCTTTCTTTTTTTTTTTTTTAAGATTTTATTTATTTGTTTGACAGACAGAGATCACAAGTAGACAGAGAGAGGGGGTGGGAATCAGGCTCTCTGCTCCGCGGAGAGCCTGATGCAGGGCTCAATCCCAGGACCCTGAGATCCGGCCTGAGCTGAAGGTAGAGGCTTAACCCGTTGAGCCACCCAGGTGCCCCGGTTGTTTTCTTTCTTAAGAGTATGTGCCTGTTGCTATAGAACCCTTCTTGTCTCAGAGCTCCCCTGATGAAAATGCCTTCATATTATTATTCCCTTATATTTCCAGTTTTTTAGGTTCACTTTGAAAAATTACATCTTTTAAGATAGAAATATCTTCTGAGCAGGTTAAGGCTTTTTGTCTTTAATGCATTTATTATAAATCGAAGCTATTTGTTTGGGAGTGACAGCATGAAAACACTATTTTCCTGAAAGCTGGAAGGGCAAGCTTTGTCTTCTTTTCCGTAATGACCAGCATCTGTCTCTTATGCCACTGAGAAGCATGCATGGTCCTTCAGCACACATTGGAAAATATATCCGATGACTCTTCCTTCAAATTATTTCACATTAACTGAGTCCAATCTAATTGTTACTCTTAAGAATTTGTCATGCTGAAATGATTTTATTTTTTAATCTGTTTTCTGTGTATCCTCTCTTTTTTTTAAAAAAAAAGAGCTTTTCACTTGGAGATGATTGTAGATTCACATGTGTTTGCAGGAAATAATGTGGAGAGAACCCTCTTACCCTTTACCCAGTTTACCCGATGAGACCATCTTGGAAAACCACAGTATAATATCAAAACCTTGATACGGACCTTATTCAGACTTCACCAGTATTACTTGGATAGGTGTACTCATTTATGTGTGTGTATTTATTTCTTTACAGAGTGACAAAACTGTACACTTGTACAAAACCACTGCAGTCAAACTATAGAATAGTTCTATTGCCCAAGACCCCTAGTATTTACCTTTTCTATCCACACCTTCTTTCCTTAATGAGGTGTTTTTTTTTTTTTTAAGAATTTATTTATTCATTGATTTCAGAGAGGGAGAGCGCAGGGGCGGGGAGAACAGAGGGAGGAAGACAGGCAGACTCCCCGCTGAGCGCAGAGCTAGACGCAGGGACCCATCCCAGGACCCTGAGATCATGACCCGAGCTAGAATCATGAGTCAGGTGCCTAACCTACTGAGCCACCCAGGCGCCCCACTCCACACGTCTTTAATTTGTTTCTCATTTATGGTCATGACTTTAAATTTTATTTTATTTTTTTCAGTGTTCCAAGATTCATTGTTCATGCACCACACCCAGTGCTCCATGCAATACGTACCCTCCGTGATACCCACCACCAGGCCCTTCCAACCCCCCACCCCTCACCCCTCCAAAACCCTGTTTGTTTCTCAACCGTGAGAGACTGTGGACTCAGAAAATAATTATCTTTGAAAATTATATCCATACTTTAAAAAGTTTATTTTTAGTGTGGTTAAAAAAAAAAACCGCATAAAATTTCCCATGGTAGCTATTTTAAGTGTGTAGTTCAGTAGCGTTTAGTCCCTTCACACTGTTGTATAACGGATCTCCACATCTTTTTCGTCTTGCAGAACTGCAGTTCTGTACCTGTTTCCCTCTTCCCAAGCCTCAGGCAATCATCATTCCGTTTCGTCTCTGAACTACACTGCTTTTGATATACCTCATGTGAATGGAATCACACAGTATGTGTAGTTTTCTCTGACTGGCTGACTTTACTCAGTATGAAGTCCTCAAGCTTGAGCCCTGTTGTGGCATGTCCCAAGGTTTCTTTACTTTTTTAAGCTGAATACTATTCCATTGTATGCACCATCCCCGTTGGTGGACACTCGAGCTGCTTCCGTTTCTTGGCTGCTGTGAATAAGCTGCTATGAGCACGGGTGTGCGGATCGCTCTTTGGGATGCTGCCTTTAATTCTTTGGCTCTATACACAGAAGCGGAATTGCTGGATCGCATGGTAGTTCTTTTTCCAAGTTCTTGAGGAACTACTCTACTTCTCCTGGCAGCAGCACCATTCTACATTCCCACCAACAGCATATACCTGATAAATCTGTTCTTATTCATCCATTTTTGTTCTCTCTGTCTGTTTCATGACTGTTTCATTGACCTTTCTTTTACAGTGATAGGGAGCGAACGCTAACGCAGATAGATATTTTGCATTACGGAATGTTGGCCTGCCAAGGATGATCCTCAAGGTGACATCCCAGTGTTCTGCTGTCAGCTCTTCCAGCTCTAAGTCACACAACTTGTTTACATAAAAAGGAATTTTATGACAAGGAAACTTGGGTGTTATGTGGAAACTAAGGGTGGTGATGTGGCAGGCCATAGGAATCACTGGAATGAGGGATTTGGTTGTCTCTTGTCTTTGGTGGGTACAGTTTTCTTTCGTCCTGTCCCGAGGCTCTCATCATGTGATGAAGAGATCCCTCAGCCACCCAAAGACTGAGGTGCTCCCTTGGGCCCAGTCCAGAATTCTTGGGGAAGGGAAAGAGCGGCTCACCTGGGATCAGTTGTCTCCCCTGACGTACCTCACCACGGGCTTGGGCGGGGAGATGGAGTCAATGCAAGGACCTGGCCAAGCCTCTAGGAGCTGCACGGGTTGACTGGGAGGGCGCAGGAAGCCAGAAAGAAAGGGAACGAGCACGAGAGAGACAGCATGGAAGGTGCGCTCATCGACCGTAACCTAAACCACAGTGAACAGTAATTAAGGACACTCTGAGGAAGGGACAATGAAGCTTGGGAAGGTCTGGGTAAGGACTATTAAAATTATGCGAGACAAAGAAATTTAAAAAAAAAAAACAAAAAACAAAACCATTCTGAGTGATGCCTTAGTATATAAAGTTGGGAGCCAAGAGGGGAATTGCCTGAAATGCCCAAAATCATAAAAGATGAAATTGTTGATTTCTGGAACAATTTGAATTAAGAGGTAGATTTCAAAAATGTCAACGCCGTTATTTAGTGTAGAAACTAGAAAATGCTGTCTGAAACAGCAGTTACTTTATTGCACGAGATTTGCAAATACGTTAGGGACGCGTTAGATGCGCTGATGGAGACAGAGCCAGTCAGAGCGTCTTCGCCGTAATGTGTTGAAGGCTCAACTCTTCCCCCCTCGAGCATCAGCGATGATGGTCACCGTTAATGTTTAGTCAGTGTTGCTGCATGTGAGGCACAGTACTGGGCACTTTTCTATCCGTTCTCTCATTTACCCTTCCTCCAAAGCCTGGGTGTGCCCCTGTTCGTTGACCCAGATTGTCTAGGTTGTTTCCAACAGAATTAATAACCCTCTGCTCTTCTTTTCAGAGATGTGGTACTGGATCTTCCTGTGGGCTCTCTTCTCGTCCCTGTTTGTCCACGGTGCTGCGGGCGTGTTGATGTTCGTGATGCTGCAGAGACACAGGCAGGGGAGAGTGATTTCACTCATCGCTGTCAGCGTCGGATTTCTGGCTTCTGTCACCGGCGCGATGATTACTAGTAAGTTGGTTTTGTTTTGCTTAAGGACCTGACTGTGCATGTACTTTATTCTTACGATGAAGGGGACGTTCGTGTCATCTCCCGTGGAAGGTATTTTCAGCACTGATCACACTTCACCTGGGAGGGAAAGATCCGTTCATGGGCTCATGGAATGGAGAGTTTTAGTACTTCTCTGTAAAGACTCGCTATGGAAGGTTCTGTGGGAACTAGAACAACTTGTGAAAATTGACAAGGGGACAGAAATTCAGGGGGGAGTTTATTTTCTAGTGGACTTAGTTTTTGCTTTAAAGGAACTCCCGATCTAGTCAGGGAGAGAGACAGGCACACTGATTTGACAGTGATGATTGTCATCAAAAAAGTGAAAATAGAGCCCCGAGGTCCTTGATGTTATCTGTGAGGACTACAAGGTAAAACCGCATTTTCTTCTTAAATACAATTTGTTACGACACAAATCTCCCCTGACCTAGTGGGGATCGGCCACATGCGAGTGTCCTCGAGCCCTGATCAGCTGTCCTCCTGTGCTGCCCGAAGTGCCCAGCATACAGGCCCTGGGTGACCTTCCCTCTGCCTTTCCTTGACGCTGGAGCGGGGCCCCGCCTCTGCCTGGGGTTCAGAGAGGTGGTCCCAGTTCCTGCTGTGCTGGTTGAGCCAGGACTTAGATGCATCCTTTTGAGACCTGAGGGTGCCACGGCCGTTTCCTTGATGCAGCTCTGCCTGCACGGGGCTGCTTCTCCGTGCTGCTGGGGACTTCTGCCCTCACTAGGGCATCTTAGCGGCTTACATGGCCCTGCACTTGGGGCCTGCTCCCTGGTGTCTGGGGCAGCTCACTGCTGCACAAGAAGGACGTCTTCCTTTCTGGTTGGTTCCTAGCCCCCCAGATGTAAGAGTCAGTCCTCTTCTTCTCTAGTTCAAAGGCCTCCTTTTGTGGGGGGCAGTCACCTTTTCCCAGAGGGATTTGCATACCTTGCCCTGTTCCCATGTCCCAGTGTCTGTCCTGTGGCACTAATAGGACATTCATAAAACAGTTGTGGGATAAAGTGCAACTATGATTTGTACTGGGATTTAAGGGAATGGAGAGGTTAATTTGGAGGGAACTGGTATAGTAAACTGTTCCCCCCAAGAACATGTATTAGATTTCCATGTTGTCATCTGTTTCTTCATCCTTTCTTCTCTCACCGTTTGGTTTTTCTGTGTTACTCTGTATTAGGTTTCCGTTGTTGCTGCAGGCAGCCTGTAACCCTATCATACGGTACCGCGGCCATTCTGCCATAGCTGGGGTGTAGGGCAAGCGCTCAGGTTTAGCCGAAGCACAGGACATGCAGAGTGAAGCTGGAGATTCAGCTGGAAAGACAGTGGAACCAGATCCTAGAGGGCCGTGGAAGGAGAGCCAGAAAATTTGGGCTTTTTTCCCGCAGGCCATGGAAAACAAGTAAGATCGTTTTGAATGGGGTTGGCAAGGGACAAAGCAGTCTGATGGAAAAATTTGTTTTAATAGCTGAATATAGTTATACATAAAGAACCAAGAGACAACTCTGAAGGGGCAGGGGCCTTGTCTGTCTTCACCACTGCTGCCTTCCTAGCAATAAAACAGTGCCGGGATCATAACAGATTCTCAGAAAATGCTGGACGGAGGGATGGGTTCAGTAGGGGAGGAGGTACAGGGGTAAGAAAGGAAGAAACAGGGGAGTGAAGAAGGGAGAAACGGGGAAGGAAGAGGAAGTAAGAGACCTTACCTGTGATCTGAACTTGAAGCTGGGATCTGAACGAGAGTTGTAGCTGTGCTTGGACATGACGGGTAAGGACTATGGCAAAAGGAAACAACCCAAATTAGTTTTACTCACTGTGGTGGCATACACAGAGGCTTGGAAGGGACTGCAGTGTTTTTGGTGGGCGCCACTGCTGTGATTCTGAACCCACAAACAGAGTTGGGAAGAAGGAACATTGTGCTTAGGAGTTGTGAGCCGCGTGAGGATATGTGCATCCCTTGGCATAAATTACCGTAAAAGCTCGGAGAGCAGGAGAAACGTCACTCTCCTTCAGTTTATCTCTAATGATGCATTTGTATGTTTATTACCTAGTTTCAATTCAGCCAAGAATAAAATATGCCAGTGATTTTAGAAACTGCTGAGTTATATATTAAATCCTTAAAAAGATAAGTCTGACATAATTTCAAGTAAAAATGTGTATCCAGGTTAGCAATAAAGCATTTCAATGTCTTCTGGCTAGTCTTTTGACCTGCAGACACTTGAATTAAGAAAACTAGCTGAAGTGAAACTATTTTAGCTATATTTATTTTCTTAATGCAATTTGTGAGTGTCCGTATTCTCACAACTGTGTATTCAAGTCTGCAAATGATTGCTTCAGATCTCTTCTGAATAAGAAACTGATTGAATATAGACACGTATCTATTATATTTTGCTCCTCCTTAGGTTTTATTTCCAATACAGTGATTTTTCATTTTAGTTGGTATTGATGGTTAATAACAAAATTGGGAGAAACCAGGTGTCTGTATATTGCCATCAGCCAACATTATATAGCTGACTAATTTTAGCAAATCTGAAGGTATAAAATGACATCTCTTTGTTGGGTTAATTTGCATTTCTCTGATCACTACGGAGTTTGAACATCTCTTCTTATGCTTATTATATATTTAGATTTCTTTTTCTGCAAATTGCTTCTTTAAGCAATTTAAGTGCTTGCTTTTCTTTTGGGGTTCTTGCTTCCTTCTCATTAAATTTTAGGGGTTTCTTATACACTAGAGATATCGGTCTCTTGTTGGTTTTGGACTTTGCAAATAACTTCTCCATCTTTTATCAGTTACCATCATCTATGATGGTAGATGATCTATTCTATGATTCTATGATCTATTGAGCAGAAAGCCTGAATTTCTGTGTTATCAGCTTAAAGAGTTTTTTCACGTTATGGTTTATAATTTAAGAAGTTCTTCCCTCCACCAAGGTCAAGAGATATGCTGAAATATTTTCTAAGGTTAATTTTATTGTTTTACCTTTAGTACTGAGGTCTTTAATACCTACAGAACAGGAGTCAGCCAACCTTTTCTTAAAGGGAGTATGTAAACTTTGCAAGCCCGGTGGTCTCTGTCAGAGCTCTTTGGCTCTGCCACTGTAGTGTGAAAGCAGATACAGAAGTGTGTAAATGAATAGGCATCGCTTTTTCTAATAAAACTACAAAAACAGGGGTCTGGCATTCAGGAATAATTTCATAAATTCCTGACTTGTGCCCTGGTTGAGAGTCTAACTTTGTATTTGGAATTAGATAGGATTCCAGGTGTATTTTTCTTCCCACATAATAAGTCGGTTTTGACCACACCATCCATTAAAAATACCCATCATTTCCTCATCGATTCACCTTGTCTGCGTATTATGCTCAAGCATGAGGATCTGTCTCTGAACCCTGTTCCGAGATCTGTTAGTCTTTTTATGTGTTCTTGAAGCAAGGTCACATTTTTTTTTTCCCCTGTGGTTTTGTGTTATTTCTTGATACCTGATCAGGCTAGATCCCTCTCATTTCTTTAAGTTAACATGGCTGTTTAAGGACTTTTATTCTTTCACATAGATTTTAGAATATGTTTACTCAATTTCTCAAAAAGTGTAACTGTATAATTTTTATTGGGATTTAATTTAATGGAGAGGTTAACTTGGGAAGACCTGTCATAGTAAACTGTTCTACCCAAGAACATGTATTAGATTTCCATGTATTTGGATCACCTTCTGTGTCTTTCGTTAGAGTTTAAAAATGTCTTTTTCAACAAGAGGGTTGCATGTTTTTGGTTAATTCTTAAACTCTTACATCGTGGTTGCTGTGCATAGTATCTTTCAATGACATTAGTTAGTTTTATTGGTATAGAGAAACGCTGTTCGATTTTCTGAGTGGAGTCTACGAAAGATAAAGCAAAACACTGATTCTTTGAAAAGATACTAAGATGAATAGATCGCTGGTAAACTAATTTAAAAAAAAGTGAAGGCAGAAAAATAAAGTATAGAACAAAATAGAATAAATAACTAGAGACCCAATGGTAGAGATAGAATAAAGAATTATAAAAATAACAGTTTTGCCAACAGGGATATATTCCTAAGTATAAAATGTCAAAATTGGCATTAGAAGAAACTAAATGAGATTAGGACAGTAAGTATATTTAAACAATTGAAATGCTGAAGATCTTCCCCTCCCAAAGGAATTCCAGGGTCAAATGAGTTCTACCAATATTTTGAAGGGACAGTTTAGTTCCTATTTTATCCAAATTTTTGAGGAAATGGAAAGAGTAAAAGCCATGCACAGTTCATTTGCTGAGGCTAAGGTAATCTTGTTAAGCAAAATAAAGACTGTGCAGGAGCAGAAAAGTATAGGCTCATTTACCTTTTGAGTGTTACCCTAGGAATGCAAAAATAATTCAGGATCAGACATGACTATGGCTGTGTGCCAATAAAACGCTATTTATGGGAACTGAAATTTAAGTTTTGTACAACGTTCATGTATCATGAAGTGTTTTTCTTTTGATTTTTAAGAAATCATTTAAAAATGTAAAAACCATTCTTCACTCCTGTGCCACGTCTGTGTGATGTGGTATGCAGAGTGGACCTGTGAACCGCAGCTTGCCAGCCCCTCACTGGACCACACAGGCTGGTGGAACCAACACTGTTAAAACCAAACCTGCCTTAGCCTTCACATTTACTTATTCTCAGGAAATTCGGAGGCAAGTCAGGTCACTTTCTTTGGTGTGTCACTGTATATTGACATCTTTCTTCCGTTGGTGGCTCTTTTAGTCTCTCTTGACCTTGTAGGTTCATGTCTTTCACTAACTCTCATGTCAACTCAGCAGTATTGCTTTCCGTACTTCATCTTTACTGTGCAAGAGTTTGCTAGTCCCTAGGTCCTCAGGATCTCTTTCCTTATTTCTAAGTGATTCTTTCCTCCATGGTTGGTGGGGGCAGTTCCAGACATGCACCATTTATTTCAAGCATCCTGTTCTGCTTGTGTCTTCTTTATTCTTGCATAACTTAGCCTTGTACTTCACCAAAAAAATAAAGACCATAATATTTGTGGTCTTTCATCTGGCTAGTGTGTAGCAGAATACACTGTAGAGAGAGTGAAAACTAAAGCAAGAATTGGAGGGACGACATTTGTGAACATATATAAATATAAAAGGATTAATATCCAAACTATATTTTAAAAACCCTATGAATCAAATAATAAGAAGAAAACTCAATAGAAAAAAGGATGGAAGATTTGACAAGCATTTAGTAAAAGTAGAAAACCCTCCTGGCCTCTAATATGTGAAGAAAAGTTCAGTCACATTAATTATCGGGGAAATGCAAATTTATCACAGAGATGACATCTCTTATCAGATTGACAAAAATTTAAAAAATAGATACCAACTGCTTCTAAAGATATGAAGTAACTGAAATATAAATTGGTACAACTACTTTGGAAGATAGTTTGGCATTCCTTACTGAAGTTGAAAATGCCCATAATATAAGACTAAGCAATTCTACTTTTACTCGTGTATTGAAGAGAAATTTTTGACTGTGTATGTGGGCCAGGGGTCACGCACAAGGATCTTCACAGAATCAGTGTTTGTCATTGTTAAGGATTGGAAACAAATTTACTAGCAGTAGAGTGAACAAATTGTGGTATATTCATGCTTAGAATTCTATGCAATAGTGAAAATGCATGAATTATAGTTACACACTACAACGTGGGTAGCTTTCAGACCTATGATATTGAGCCCAAATTCTGGAATACTTACAGCGTCAATTTACAAAAAATTAATTTATTTTACAAAACTAAATAATATATATTTTTAGGTTACAAGAAGGTGGTAAAGCTGACAAAAAGTAAGGGAATGATAAAAAACAAATTCAAGGAGGGAATGGGACATAAACTGAGCAGAGTCCACAGGAATTTCAGAGGAGATAGTGACGTTCTTCTCTTCAGTTGGATGATGGTACTTGGGAATTTGTTATTTTATAATCTACACACACACACACACACACACACACACTTCAAAGATTTATATTTGAGAGAGAGTGGGGGAGGGGCAGAGGGAGAGAGAACCCCAACAGGCTTCACCCTGAGGTCACAACCCTAGGGTCATGACCAGAGCTGAGACCAAGAGTCAGACACATAACCAACTAAGCCACCCAGGCACCCCCCTTACATATGTTTTTATAAATATTCTTTCAGAGCTGCTCCATATTCAATAGTAATATTTCAAAATTCATTTATTAGGCACCTAAAATTGTTTTCTTGTAGATCTTTTAGATTGAGAATCACTGGTACACTCTTCTGGCCAGTGTGTCTGGGTGTGGAATCCTACAACACAGTGGGGATTTCTGTAAATCTGCTTCTTCTGGAGGAAAGTTGTAACTTCCGAATTGTTTCCTGACTGATTATCAACTGGAAAGAAAATGGTGGTTTATTTTCTGTATAACACTATATAGGCTTGAAGAGCTTGTCCTCTGTTCCTTGAAAGATTTTAAAGAAGAATGGTTTATTTAGTAGCTTTGTTTGTTTTTCCTCGAACAGCAAGGCCTTCCAGCGTGAAATCCATTTTAATCAGCAGAGCAGCCAAATACTCAGTAAAGGAGTCAGCTTGTTTGGGAAAGGAGATGCCAGTAGAGTGGAAAGGTTCTCAGTACTCATTTCCTATTCCTTAAATCTTTTTTTTAATTCCCTTCTTCCTTTGTCTCTTCGGGTATGTTTCCATGGTTCCTGACCTCCAGTTAAAATCTAACCCCCTACAGAGATGCCCCAAATGTGTTTTCCTGGGCCCTCTCCCTCCAGCCAAAGGACCCCACCCTGAACTTCAGAGGCACAGAAATAATAAGTATAAGCACTGCCTCTTTTAGTTACATAGAAAACACTTGACATTGAACATGTACACAATTTTTCTTATTCTGTAAGATTTGCTACCTAGCTTAAAATGTAATTTATTCCTTATTATTTCATATTAAGAATTCAGTGAACTTTGTCATTACCTACAAATATTTTAGTTTGGAAAATAGGATTGAACGATATTCTGACCTTGAGGATGAAAGTTTCTTAGATTTATAGAGAAGTATAGGCAAGTTGGCTTGGAAATTGTTAGATTTTTAAAATGAGTTTTAATTTCATAAGTAATAAATGACTGCATATTCTCCTTGTAAAACGCAAAACATTATGGATGAGGCAAAGGTCTCTTTGGACTAGCACTCCCAAACTAGTGCTCTTCTCAGTTGTAATCCCTATTTTTAGTTTGGCTTTTATTCCCCCAGATGTATGTCTATATGAATATTACATTTATTCATATTTACATATATAAACATTTACATACAGGCACACCTGCATACAGATGCACGTATTAGTAGAGAATAGATAGAGTTTTAGGTTTCATTTTCTTTGTTGCATAAATGATATGTCATAGGTTCTTTTCATATCAGTTCATACGTTTTTTTATTTTTCCTTTGAAATTGTATGGGTTTCATCGTGTGGGCTTGATCTGGTTTACCCAGTCCAGACTGAAGGATATTGGGTCCTTGCTTTTGATTTTGTGGTGTGTGTTTGTGTTTGTTTTTGCTACTACAAAACGTACTCCCTTGGTTATCATATGTGTGTTTGTGTGTATGTGTGTGTCTGTGCTGTGGGCATGAATCAAGTATTTTTCTAGTCTGTCCTTTTAGGGTTTTTCTCTTTTTTATATAGTTTTAAGCTGTGTTCTTTGCCTAAGATCATAGATACATTCTCTTCTGTTTTAAAGTTTACATTTATAAGTTTGTTTTTAATATTTTGTTCTTTAACTCATATGAAATTTATTCTGGGGAGTGGTGTGAAGGAGGGATCTAGATTTTCTCCTTCCAGTGGCTGCTAGTTGTTCCAACATCATCTACCGAATGCTAAGTCACTGGAAATACCTTTTTCATTTTCTACTATGACAACCATTAGCCAAAGCTGAGTGCATACTAGGACCAGTCACTCTTTATCTTCATGCTCGCCCATTTTACAGTTGAGGAAATGAGGCACAGAGAAGTTGAGGGACCGCCCCATGTAGCATGTCTGCTAGCTAGTGGATTTTGGAGTTTGATCCACAAGTCTGGCTCCAAAACCCGTGCTCTTCACCTCACGTGAGCATGAGATGTTTGACTTGACGCATTTGCTTACCATTTCCTGGGAAGCCTGAACTAGTAAGTGCTTAGATTTTCACTTCTTGGATCATTTTTGAAAACTTAGTGCTGGAGAGATGGAGGCCAAATTGAAGAGAGTCATGGAAATCTAGGGTAAATCCACAGAAAAACAGTATTTCTTCAGGTTTATTTTAATATTATTTTTGAGAACAGAGAAAGCATAAAATCTTTAAAATATTTTTTTTCTTTTTCAAAGATCTATTATTTTAGGGAGAGAGAGAGAGTGCATGAGGGAGGAAGGGGCAGAAGGAGCCCCGTGCAGGTTCAATCCCAGGACCCTGAGATCATGACCTAAGGCAAAATCAAGAGTCAGATGCTTAGCCCCTTAGGTACCCACAGGCCCCAGATCTTTAACATTTTTTAAAGAATGTTCTCTAATTCTAAAATTTGAGGACATCACCAGTTACACTAGTGAAGCTTATTACTTGATGAGGTAAATGTTAGTGCCACTAGTTTTATTTAATGTTGAGATGTTTATCAGACTTTATGATTTTCTGAATTCCTTGCTTTCTTTTTTACTTAGTACATATGTGAAATGATAGAACGATTTGGGGATTTATAGCCAGATTAACTGATATTGAAATTCCAGCTCTTGTCCTCACTGTACTTCTTTGGGCGGGTCATTTAACCTCTCTGAACCTCTGTTTTTCATCTTTACAGTAGGTGATAATATTCTGGCCTGGGATGATATTTAAACAAGATAGTATTTGTAAAGATAGTATTTGTAAAATTGCTATCAAGATACATTACACGTAGTAAAAAGGGAGTACATTTTAATTTCCTTCTTAAAAAATGCACATATGAAGTCCTTGGCTTAGATCAGTAACTTCTCTTTCCAGTTTATATCTCTTTAAAGGAATATAGTTACTTTTATTTGGGGGATTTTAAGAGAACGACAGAGTTAATTCTTAGCTAATTTTTTATGAACAGATTTCTATCTCAAAGAATTGTCGCGTCAGTATCTCTGAATCATTTACTTCTGGTCTTGCTTTTTGTTTGGCCATTCTAGGGTAGATCGTTTTTTTCTAGGGGAAAGTTTGAAGGCCATCTCAATCTCTAAATTAAATACTCTACTTACTCTAAATTAAATGCTTAGAAGGCATACTCTAAATTAAATGTTTCATTATAGGTAGTATATTAATAAGGTGAAGTGTTGAATCAGACAGGCTCTGAGACTCCTGGAACTCCGGGATTCCCGCATTCTTGGAAGTGTTCAAGATCTAAACATTTTTCCAGAACAGACGTCAGATTCATCTTCCATTTTTATTAGATGTCATGATACTAGTCTCTAAATAACTTTATGGTTGTATGCTTTATTGCAAAATAAAAACTATATGGTAGATTCTGAAATGTAGCCGAGTATTCTTCAATATTTCCTATCACATTTAAGAATTCTTAAAAAATTTCTTGAGTAATTTAGGAACTGCATTATACTGTGCAGTTTTCTGTATTTTCATTTATGATTATCAGCATATTGAGTTGTATGTTTATAAAAATAGTGATTGGCCAGTTCAACACCCAGGTGGGAGATTACAGCAACCGATTACTCATGTTTATGAACATGTTTGGTGTCACCTAAACAGCGTGTGTTGTAAATACGTCTTTTGCAGCTGAATAGAAATCCTGTCTCTCCTGGAAGCGATGTGGTCAAGTGTGACTTACGGATCACACGCAAACTTCCGTGGACAGTTTAGAACACGAGCGTGTAGGTGACTGACTCTGGTGTGCTGAGATGGAGAACGACCTGACGCGCCCACGGCGCAGGGTGTCAGGAAGGGAATGAACGTGTTCTTGTCTTTCTCTGCCCCTTGTCATCCAGGCGCAGCCGTCGCGGGCATCTACCGAGTGGCAGGGAAGAACATGGCCCCCCTGGAGGCGCTGGTGTGGGGCGTGGGACAGACTGTATTGACATTAATCATCTCCTTCTCAAGGATCCTCGCCACACTCTGAGCTTTCGGTGGGAATGTCTAACTTCACAGAAGGAAACAGATGTACAGATTCTCAGAGCACGGCCTTGTGAAGGAGCGGGGATGAAATTGAGCAAGGAGACCGTGGAAGGAGCAGGTCGCTGCAGAAGGCCTTGAGCTGTGTGCGAAGATCGCCCTCTGGTGTCCGAGTGATTGCACTACCGCACCGCACCTTAACGTGCCTCCGTCCCAGGCCAGGCGCATCCTGGAAGCCGTGAGCAGAAGCACCTTGTTCAGCGGCCAATCAGGTTAACACTGGTGTTGACTCATCGTTCTTTAACAGTGTTGTGTTGAGTTACAGGGACGTTTTGAGGAATTGATATATGTGCCAAACTCTTCTCTCTCTCTCTCTCTTTTTTTTAAACATTGATCCTGTGACAATTTGCAAGTGTAGATGTAGATGAGTGCTGTGAACCACATTTGACATGAATTCAGGTAACGTAGTGAGATTTTTGTTTCGTGACGCTAAATCCCGTATGAGTGCTGAACACCGAATCCTTTAGTATGAGGTGAACTTTTTGGTTTTTAATGTTGAACGTTTCTGGGATTTAGGGCTTTCATATGTTTAGGCATTATTGTTATTTAATTTATGTGGAAAATAATACTTAATGGAAAACTAGCTAAACTCTTGTAAGGACTCAAAGTAGACCCATAGGGTGCATCCTTCCCACTCACTTAAATAACACTCTTTTAATAGTTTACCCCCTACGTAACTATTCTATTGATATGAATTCAAAAACTATGGGTCACACACATTGACTGTAGTTTGTGTGTCATAAAAATATAATTTGAAAATTTTCTTATAAACTTTGTAAGAAAAGAAGTCTGAAATGCATGTTGCATTCTTTGACCCTTCTAAAGTAAGTTTTTGCCATGTATCTCATGGAGAAAACATCTTTATAACTCGTATCTCGGTGGGATTATATTACTTGTTGCATATATCTTGATTTTTGACAAAACATAAACGATCTTGCATTCTGGAGTATTACCTATATTTAAAGAGTGGCCTAAATTAGGCTGTGAAAACAAAGAGCCTCATTTGTAGATAAATGACAAGTTATATAAGAGTGATAAACTATCTTACATTGGGCATGTGGTAACATAATTTCGCTAAATAAAAATTGGGGAATATAATTAAGTAATTTAAAAATTTGGCACTTAATCTCAGCATATCAGTACAGTACTGAACATATATTAGAGCGGTTCTGTCGTTCAGTTCTCGATTTGCACTATTAAGTTTCCTAGAATCAGTGATGACATTTAATAGAATGAAAAAGTCCTTAGTTATACAACATTTTAAGAGGTTTTGGCAAGATGGAGTTGTTTTTAAAAGTGCAAGGAGTAAGGGGGACAGAACCTGGTTGAATTTGTCTCCAACTGATTGTTTTAAATTCCAGGTCCTCTGATAAATGTGCTAACTCAGAAACCCACTGCAGAAAATGTGAGGTTAAGGGCAATCCAAAAAACAATCTGCATACTCTAGCCTCGCTGGTTTATACCCCGATTTGCTAAAAAGTACATTTCTATTAGGTCCCATTCAAATTTAAGACCCTCATTACCCACACCACTTCTTTTCGACCGAAAAGCAGAAGATCTTTCAATGACTTCACGATAGGGAGTTGGGGAAGGGGATACTTTTACCAGTATGGAAGCCAGTTTTGGGGGGTTTACTAATGCTGTGGCTTGGAAATCTGTTTTTTTTTTTTTTAAACCAATAAGCAACTATGCATCCCTAGAGATCTTTGAAGTAAACCTTAAAATTGATTATTTTTATTATGTACGAGCCTAAAAATTATTTTCATGTGTTCTTCATGCTTCTGATGTTTTCCCAAATTAAATTTAGGCATAAATTTTCCAAGTCAGTTTGATTTCTCCTTTTCTTTCAGACTTGAATTGTGTTCTTCCTTTACTTTGGCTCTTCTATTGGTCATTTCACGTCTTTGAGAGGAGTAACCAGTCACATGTTCACATTGTTTCAGATCGACGATACGAGTATTTCTTTGAACATTTGGTTGTTTCGTGATTTAAGAAAGTTACCTTGGTAAGGGAATAACGAGCACATGGTTTAGAATCCAAAATTAGCCAGAAAATAACGCAGACACATTACATCCATCCGTGTGTGGACCAAAGAGATTCTAACTCCTGTTTTTACTCTAGAATGGAAGTAGAATTGGATGGTTCTTAATTAGTCTATGGAGTGTCCAGCTCTCCCCATCAGGTTGCTTTACATTATGAATTGTGTCTGTGTGTGTGCTCTTAACCTTTGGAGGAATTGCTGGTTTCTTTGCTGTTTTCAGTTCTTTCCATTGGGATTTTGTGCAGATGTCACTCTCTTGATGTTTTCAAATGCAGTTGAATCGTGTGAGTTGATGAAATTGTCTTAATAGCTCTTTCTATGCCGAGATTTTTTTTTTTAAATTAGTGGTTTTCCTACAGAGACAACACATGCTTAATGTTATATATCCACACACACATATATATCATTATATACATATATGTAAAGCTGCTACATATGAATATAGTCTAATTGGAAAGCTTTTGTTCAGTGAACACTTTCCCGTTCTAGTAGAGAATTTTATATATTTGTTCAGTTGAGTGATCCTTTAAATAAGCAAGGATGTTTGAGATTTTTGAATTTGGAGAAATTTTTCTTGGGTTATTAGTGCTGGAGACCCTTGTTTGTGATACGACAAAAAGCCCTTATGATGTATTTGGGTTACACCATCTTAAAATTTATATATGATTTAGCAGTAAACTTTCTTTGTGATAAATGCAGGAAGGAAGGGGGAAATCTTTTAGAGTTGATACTCCTTTATTTAAAAAAAAAAAAAAAAGTTTACTAAAATACTACTGATGGTGAAATCAGTTCCCCAAAGAAGAGATCTATGCCAACATCTCCAATCTAATTATTACTTAACATACTGGTTAGAACTGTCCATAGATCAGAATCGATCAGGGGGGCCCATTGAAGCTTTTAAATGAAGGCAGTGCAGGTGGCCCCATGGGATGACTCCACTGGTTGCCTAGAATAAGGACATTTCTAAATGGTGGCTGTATTCAATGCCCACAGCTTAATCACTCTTACTTTACATCTTAATGTATACTAAGCAGTCTTAGTCTGTTACCTGAGGTACTTTCTTAGTATTTGCAACATATATTTGCACAGCCCAAAAAAGCATAAGGGTTTTGTTTGTACTTTAAATGAGAAGTGAGGAAATGAGCTGCCCCGTATATCATGCATCTGTGATATAAGGAATAGGGGTAAGTTAAAATCAAAGAGTGTTGTTGAAAGCGCCTTTAAAGAAGGACTAATTAAGACACAGAGGGCTCTGCCATGTTGCTGTGCCCATGCTAGCACTTCCACGCCAGCTAATTCCGTCTGGCACGCATGGCTCTGTGGCTTTCCAGGTCCGTCCTGAGTATTTCTATAGTAAATACAAGGATGGGGGTCCCCGCCCTTGAGTCCACCAAGAGCTAGCAAGGTAATTGTAAATCCTAAAAAGTTGGGATATTTTACTTCCCGATTCTGTTTGAGAGTTTAAGTCCTGTTCCTCCTCCCCCCTGCCCCCAGATTCTGGTTTTCCCAGTTTATCCACTGAATAGACTTTCTGAAAGTGAGATACCATTGCCCTGACAGAGTGGACAGAAGGCTAGACTCTAGCCCACCGCCTCACCTCGAACCCAGGACCCGTCTCTCGTTGAATGCACAGCAGTAACTATTGGGCAGTAGGTGACCAAGGGAATCATTAGGATGGTTTCAATTACATTTTTAACACCAACTGAATATGTTGTTTTGTAAAACTCATCTATTTTCTTCCATTTCCACATGTTCCCCTACATCTATTTTAAGAAGGAAACTAAAAAAAAGTCTCAGAATCTTGCTTCCTTTACCTCCTCTCCAGCTCTTTATTTTGGAAATGAGCAGATTCTCCAAGACCACTTCTGGGAGTTGGAGGGGGTGGAGATGGCCAGGGCGAGCAGGAGTAAATTCGTTCGTTTATTGCTAGTTCAACTAGAAAAAGGGTGAGACACTCCTCCTCCCCGGCCCGGTCTTTGTCTTATCCTGCTTTGCTTCCCTTGGATCCTTCAGCCTACGTCCACTGAATAGCTGCCACATGCGGCTTCACTGTCCTTGTTTTAGGGATGGGACAGGGTGTCCTCCGCGTCCTCCCCTCCTCCGCCACCCTGCGCCACCGGCTTCAGGTGTCCGGTCAGTTCTGCAGGAAATAGATCTGGGCTGCGGTGCCTGCCGCGTCCCTCATCCCACGGACCAAAGGTGCTTATGCCCTACTTGTTTCTAACTGCAGGGGGTTCTGTTATTTTTGATTTATGTCAGGTTATAATTCATGAAGTCACAAGACACGAAGGGTATTTTCTGAAATATTCTCAAACTACGTCACTCTTCTATTACCTTTTTTTTTTTTTTTTTTTTGTCTCTTGACTGTTTTAATCAGAATCTCTTCACAGTCCTTACTTGTTTGTAAGATGTGAAGAACATAGAAGGTCACAAAGAAGTTCTGGTAGACCTAAAGGGCAGAGAAGTTGGGCACCACCTGCTGGGTTGCTGTGTAAATTGTTGCTTTTAATAGTCAGGGGTGAGAATCTCAGTGCGGAAAATTGGCTAGTGATCCGATCAGTTGGCTCATAATCTCTCTTAACTCGAGGGGAGACTCTTCATGCAAAAGGACATTATTCGATTAAAGATGACAAGGTGTTTCAAACACGTGGTAGCATTTTGTAGCAGGGGGCAGTTTTTCCTTTAGGCAGGAAGAAGCTGGAGGGGAAGCACCGCAAGCCAGGGCGAACACAACTGCCCCCCGGTGGTAGGTCTGTAAACTACACTGTGAGGACGTCTGCTGTTTATTTGAGAGACTCAACGGAGCATTCGCAATCCGTGTGTGTGTGTGTGTGTGTGTGTGTGTGTGTGTGTCTGCGTGTGTGTGTTTTGATAGGTTTGCTCTTCTCATAGAACGATCTCTGTTCAGTGTAGACAGTACAGTGATTTTAAGGAGGCTGCTAACGTAGTTATCTAAAAATATATCTGTGAATTTGTTTGGGGGAGTAGTACTTCATATGTTTCAGTAAATGTGGAGGCTTACCAGTTAATACTTGATTAAATCGATGGAAGCACCCACATTTCTGCATGAGCTGAGCTCTGAACTGTTATCTCCTCCCTGAAGGTTAGAGGACTCCTCCTTAGATTCATTGCACATACGTTGGACTTACATAATGACCCTTTGTCAATTTCAAGAACGAATTTTCCAGTTTCTTAAAAATCTCCCCCTTCCTTCCATACCGACGTCATAAGTTAAAGGTTAAACCCAAGTGCCGTTTGTTGATAGACTCAGAAGCGCTGTTTAGAGGAAAAGGTTCTTAATACCTTACAGTTAGAATCTCACTGAAAAATAAATGCTCCAGGCAAGCCAAGAAAGCATGAACCTCTTCCATATTTTTTGGATGATGTACTGCGTCCTATCAATCTCCCCTCAATGGTAATGTGACTGTCCCCTCTTTGGGAATCTCTTTAGGTACGGAACTGAAACTGGAAAGCGGTGTAACACTAATATATAGAACGAGGCACCATCATCCATAATGACCATAACTGTAACACTTTTTCTCCTAATTACATATTGAAAATTTCCAAAGTCCATCTCTCGTTTTAGAGCCCTGTACGAACGAATGTTAACTTGACAGTACTACTGATTAGGAGAAATTTCTCTTGTTTTTAGACTTAAATATTTGCACATCATCACTAAGTATCATGGGGGAAGGAACATTTTAAAGTTTCCTCCATAGAGAGCGAAATAGAGGCCCTTGTTTGAAAAGAAGTTAAAAATGATTTACTTTCAGTACTGGATGAGTTGGTTGTCTAACTGTTGACTCTTTCTTGGTGTTTGTGATAGCAGATGCATTTATGTGGAGAAATTTTTAGTTTCCACCCTCAATACACACACACGTGAGCTGTACACATTTTAGATGAACAAATAAAACTCCACAGTATTTTCCATTACAGTCCTATAACTTACTAAAAGTTATAGGATTCTGCCATGAAGTATTAACCCCTGACTCTAGACATTTGAGGATGAGGGGATCAACTTCAAATTAACCAACAACAATGGCTTGATTTAAATAGCAAAAAATATAGTTTACCCGATAGGTATTAAAAATTCACTTTCAAATTGTGTTAACTCTCAGGTCACTGATTAATCATTTAGTAAAACATAGCAGTTTTTAAAAGCTAAATGATGCCTTAGTGCCTTGGAAGTTAAGATACTTTTGCAGAGTGAATTTGGCGGGATTCAGGATTGGCATACTTGTTACTGGAGATTTAGAATTTAGGGATGGTTTTATTGAATTAACTCCTTATGGTGAATAAAAATCAGCCATTTTGCCATTGACTCCGACAGATGACAACTACTTTCCTTACATTTTCATGATGTGGTATTTGTCTATAATTTTTTCTTTTTACAAGTAAGTTTGAGATGGAGAAATATGTAGTCAAGACAATGAAGTGTGGGATTTTAAAATTCAGTTTTGTCGTAAACTAGAAATTCTAGCGTGGACAGTGTTTTATATCGTAGTATTAAAGGGCAGAAACTTTATGTAACATTTAGGAATATGTTTATCATCAGGGATTTCTTTTTACTATAGAAAAACTTAATGTACTGTGAAGTTTAAAGACAGGAAGAATAAACGTTAGACGGGGTCACACACAAAAGCAAAGGCATATGTGATGAACTACCCCATATTATGTGAACACAATCCCCCCTTCTGTTAAGACTATAAACTACACTGTATGAGTATGTGTACTGCATGTTTACATAATACAGTTTAATTTTGAAGGATTATTTTAAA